CAAGCTGCTTGGAAAGGGAACTAGAATGTCATACCTCAAAGGTGGCCCTCCTAAATCCAGTGTTGAGCAAAGAGGAAAAGGAGTCTCAGCGAGATGCTCACAGTTTCAGAGTATGCATTGTAGCTTCTGTTGCCTGCAGGCGCACCTGGAGGTGGCTGTGTGTAGAGGAAGGCATGGGAACTGAGAATAACCACCACCACCCTTTAAAGCGTATTTGCGTTTTTTCCTAGAAGGGGACAAAAAAAGAGAGGATTTTTTTTTTAAAAAACAGGGTAGTAGGGACATGAGAATTTATTGTAATCTTCATTATATTTTTTTTTATGTCCAAGCACACCTAAATAAAATTTAAATGATAAAAGAGAAAGTCGATGATTCAGGCAGCAGCGAGGTGGATGGGGAAGGTGGGAAGAACAGAGAGGAGCAGGAAGCACAGAGGCCAATCTGAAGCGCAGGGATTCCCGCGGGGCCAGCTCACAGCCCTCTATGTTCCTAAAAGGACTGAGCAAAACGCTGACTTTACCTGAACTTAACTCTCCAAGTTCACAACAAGAATAATGAAAATAAAATCCCACAAGCAGGTATGTTTGGCAAAAGGGGCACGGGCTGAAAGCCAGAGGGCACAGCTGACTCCGTTCTAATGCAGAAGTAACACGGTCCCAGAGGAAGGAGAAAAGCTAATTTGACCTTTCAGCCCCTGGCTCCGTATTTATCGTCTGGTGATGATAATGTGGAGAATGTTGTGAGGATTAATAAATTCATTTCTCGGGCTTTGCAGATAAAAATGTGCTCCGTAAGTGCTTTATTTTAAGAACTATGGAAGGGTTTGTTTATTCCAGGATCCCATTCAGCCGTCCCTTAAACCTTATCTCCCCCGTTCTGGGTTTTGTGATGAATATGAGGTCTTCTGAGCGAGTGGGAGTAACCTTTGAGGATTATGCATTTTAAGCGCCGGTTCACAATGAATATGTGACCAGATATATGTCACATAGGGGAAGTCAAAAATATAATCCCTACAAGGTTAATGACACAGATTGTATTTGGAGTTTCAATTTGCTGCGGTAATTCTAGGCATTTTAGAATAAGGGACTTCAGCCTTAGCACCCCAAGTCTGCCAATGCAAACTCCCTGATACAGGGTCTACAAGGGGTAAGCTGGGGTTTGGGTTGGAGGCTGAAAATCAGCTCATAAAATTTAGTGGAAACATGCAGAATGTGCTCCTCACGGAGCTACTTCGAGAAGTTTCTTTGAGTGGCTCTTCCAGTAGCTCTGAATGGTCTGTCCCAATTCGTCCATACTTCCTTTCCCCACGAGCCTTTGGGGAAAGACTCATGGTTGGCGAAGGCTTCTCTGCTAATGAGGGGCAGCAGAGCTCATGCCTAGGAACCAAGGGGTGCACACCGCTCTCCTGAGGGCGACTCTGCCCCTCCCCACCTGAGCCGCTACCAGGCTATGCTGGGCCAATTCCATAGGCACCACTCCATAAGTGCTTTATGTGCCACCATGCATGGCAGAATGTGGCTCTGCACAGTGCCCTATGCTGCTGGACTGCGGAAGCCACATGCTTGCTGGGGACCGGCAACTCCATCCTACTCTGCTGTGGTAAGGAAGGCAACACGTTTGTCTTCTAGGAGCCCCCCCACAAGCCACCTTGGCAATAGCACTACAACACAAGTCACAGGCTGGTTTGACCTCTTAGCAGTAGGCATTGCTGACCATTGCTGACCATCACCTGGCACAACAGGGCTGCACGCTGCTGTTGTTGAAGCATAGCCTTGGGGTGCTTCATGAGGAGTGTGGCTAGAGCAATGTGTGACAAGGAGGTTTTGCTGTCATGTGACTGTCACACAGTGTACCTGCACAGAATAAGATGGTGAAGATGACTACCCTGACACTAGGTGACCCAGTCCTCTGGTATCACTATGGGCTCGTCATTGACTGAACTTCCTTAGGGCACACATGACTCTAAATGACCCTGAAGGCAGCTCCTAAGACACACTCCCCCAGTGACCCCACCTCCTGAGACTTGTGGTGCCTCCTCTTCAGTATCACCAGGACCTGTGACTTATGTCCAAGCAGATGATAGGCTGTCACCCCCCATGACTCGTCCTGGCGTGACCTCGGTCTCTCCTGGTGCCTTTAACACAGCCATCAGCCACAGGCTTAGGCACCAGGGAAGGAAGCAGGGTGCCCCCACCCACAGCCAGCAAAACACGCAGGCCCTCGGCTAGTCACCCAGAGGATCTGAATCCTGCCAAGAACCTGTGAGCCTAGAAAACATTCCTCCCCTTGGAGTCCCTCAGCAGGGACCTTCACCAGGGCCAGCCCCCGAGACCCTAGCACAGAGCACTGCCATGTCAGTGTGCCTCCAGGCCAGACAGCTGCAAGATGCCCAAAGTGCGTTGGGTTGGTCTCCAAGACTGCAGTTCTTTGTCACACAGTAATAGGAAAGTGGGACGTCGGCTAAGGAGCAAGCTTCGAGGGGTCGCCGTTATGCACTGCAGTGCAATAATAAGTAAAACTGGTGGCTTCTCTGACCTCGCGGGAGCTCTGATGGAGGGAAGGAGACAAACTTTCACGCAGCATTGCCATGTTATGGAACACGCTCTCACCCCGTGGGGACTCTGACCAGTCTAAGCCGTTTCTCAATATTTTCATACCTAATCCTCACCACCACGATCACTGACTGTTAGATGAGGCTGTTGGGCACAGGGCTGAGACCCTGCGGGGAGAGCAGAGACAGAAGAACACTGAGAGCGACAGCGAGGAGGGGCTTTGCATGGTCTGAGGAGCGATGGGGTGGAGTCCACGGGCTGCTTGGTGGGGTGGCCTCCCTGATCACATTTGCGTTTTGAGACCGTCACTCAGGAGTCGAGAATAGAGTCCGTCCGAGGCTATTAGATTTTTTTCCGGCAAAAGATAATCGGGTGTCCTAACCCAGGTTGGGGGCAGGGGCAGCAGACTCCATCAGGAGATATTTTGAAAGTAAAAATGAACAGAAATTGAATAAGGGGAGGTGATGGGAGTGACCAGGGATGACCCACCGACTTGAGCCATGCATAACTGGAACTTTGTATCATTTGCACCAGTTACAGGCTGACGGCTCTGTGATTTCCAAAGTCAAAGGCAGCGCCTCTGGGAAGTTGGCCCCCAGAGTCAGGTTTGCGGTTTCCCCAGATACCACCGCATGAAAGGGAAACGCTGCTGCAGGAGGTGAGGGGTTACCAACCCTCCCAAAAGGCACCTGAGGGCTTTGGCTGAGCACTTCAGTCACTCATTTAAAAATCAAATAGCTTTGGTTTTAGAAAACACATTTTTTTAATGAGTGGGCCAATATGGTTTGCTCCAGGCATTATTTCAAACACTCGCTTCAGATGTCTTTCTGAGTCTCCTTTTGCTTCTCTAAACCAAAGAGATCCATCCGCTCCAACCCATCACCTGGGGTTCATGGAATTTTACAGGCCTGACTCCTTCATTCCACAGCTTCCCAGGCTCCTCTGTGCACCACACCCCAAATCCCAGCCCTGCGTCCACTTGGCAGGAATGTCCTGCCAACTGGATGGTACCCAGAGAGGAGCCTGGTGTGTGTCACGTAAATAAGAAATTAACATCCAGGCGTGTTCTTCTTTTCTGACGACGGGCGTGGCGCACAGCTCACCCAGAGCAGCTGATCCAGCCTCTCGCAACCGCTAAGCCATCTCTTTTTCTCCAGGCACAAAGATCTACCACCTAAGCAAAAGGCTGTGCAAACTAGCACAAGCCTCTGGAGTCTCCAGAGCATCCTGAGCATTGCTGTAAACATCCACTTCCTCACCTACAGTGTGCACCTGGTGACAGTCACCCACAGTATCGCCCACAGTGGGGACTCTGTGGTATCCACTGCGGAGATGACCCCTGCCTGGTGCTGTGCAGGAATGGGGGCAAGAACCTTGAGGGCAGAGAGAACTCGCCCTCAGCCACCACCGAAGCGTCACTTTTGAAGAGGAAGAGGCCAGGAACAGGTGAGGGTTTCTAAGAACATGGATCCTAAGGATGTGTAGCAGGCCAGGCCCCTTCACTCTCCCATGTCACCCCCGGGAGTCCCAGCCACCAATCTGCAGAGGAAGCTGGCAGGAGCACCCACCTGGGGGAAAGACCTGTAGTCAATGCACCCAGAGACCCTCCTGTGAGAACGTGGCACAGCAGATCCCTGCACCCGGGCAGCCCAGGTTCCCCCTGCACAGGTACAAGCAGCCACAGCCACACCTGTGCACTGAGGTGCCCCGGCATTCAGGACCAGTCAGCTGCAATGTTAAAGGAAAAGGTCACTGGGAAGGAAAGGTAAGGACCCCAGGGAATGTGAAGCACCAGCTACGTGCTCAGCAATGCGGTGAGTACTGACAGGAGCACAGCAGCCCTTCAGCAAGGCCCAGCTTGAGAACACAAGAGGCACTTCTCTGGGTAGGACTAGGAAGAGCTGCTTTGAATCAGAACCACAGAAACAGGCCCAGGTGAGATGAATGGGTAGCCAGGAGAGGAGAGCTTGTGCAGAGCAGGGGCGCGCGCTGGGTCAACACAGACCATAAGACGGAAGGCCAAAGATTCTCCTGGGGAAAAGCAGCCCAATCCATGACCAAAGGTATGAATGAGGACGGCACACAGGGAAGAAACTGACGGGTTTCCTGTGCAGAATAAAAGTGTGTATACCGCATTAAAGAAGCACGATCTTCTAAAATCTCACCTAGATCCATTCTCACTTCATTCATTGCTTAATTCTGGGCCTGATGAGACCAGAGAGGGTCAATGACAAACCAAAGTCAACCAGCACAGTAGAGACCCAGGTCTGTGTCTTCACTCTATGATCCTTTGACTCATTTTAGATATCGTGGTGTAAGGCTCAGAGAGAACAAAAAGTTTAAAAAAATAAAAACAGCGAAAGAACCCCCCCCAAAAACTTCTAGTTTTTATTTCATCCAGAAATAATAAGACAGACAGGGGTCCCAACTGTGGGGAGGTGCGGTGGGCCTGAAGATGGGAGGCTTTGGGGCAGGGCTGTGTGGGCAGTGTCCTCAGCTGTCCTGCGTCCACATCTTCTGAATACAGTTGAGAGAGACTAAGGGGACTCATGTCCTCAGCCTGCGTCCCCTGAGTGTCAGGTCTCAGAAGCCATCACCACGTGTCTTTCAGGTTGCTTCAAGGTCATGGTGCCACCAGACCTTTGCCCTGACTGGCAGCCTGGCCCTGCCTACT